CGTGATAGGAGGCAAGATGATATACATCTGCCTGCGCGCCATCTGGATGGACCTCGACGACCGGATCCCAAACAAGCTGCCCGAGAAGATTGGCATCACGTCTGCGCAATTCACGGGCTACTTTTTCTTCAACGTCCTTTGCGCCTGCCTGATCTGGTTCAAGCCGCAGCAGCTCCGGCCGTACTTCCACGTCGGCTCATGGCTGGTGCTCATCACAATGATCAGTCTGCTGGGCTGGGCGTGCGGAACCAACAAAGGGTATGGATCTATCCTCCACGCACCGGCGTCGATCAGCGGCTCTTCTCTTGCCTGGGCCATGTGCTCCGGCATCATGTCGACGATTGGGAGCATTGCGGCTGGAATCTTGAACCAGAATGACTATACCCGCTTCGCTAAGCGGAAGAGCCAGGTGACGTGGTCGCAAGGGATTAGCTTCAATCTCAGCAGTGCCATTATCCACATTGTTGGAATCGTCGTGACGGCTGCCACCCAGCAACGTAAGTGAGCGTGTCTTCAAACCCGAGCGGAGCTGACTTATCCTTGCAGAGTACGGCAAAGGAACGCCGCTGTGGGACCCAAGTCAGCTCTTCAAGGCGATGCAGGACCAAGGCGGATCAGGGGCGAGGGCGGCGACCTTTTTCCTAGCGATTGTCTTCATCATCTCCCAGCTGTCGATCAACGTGCCCGGTAACGTCTTGGCTGGCGGTCTTGACGTAGCCAGCGTCTTCCCCAAGTACATCAACCTCCGCCGAGGAGCGTATATTCTTGCCATTCTCAGTGTTGCGCCGAATCCGTGGCAGCAGCTGGCTTCTGGATCCACGTGGGTTGAGTAATTTTTGACAAAATCCTGACACTTACCATCCTCGATAGTTTTCTGTCCGTCCTGTCTGCGTATGCCGTGTTCCTTGGCCCCTTCATCGGCCTGCTCTGCATCCATTTTTACGTCATTCAAAAGAGGCAGTTCCACGTCGCGGACCTCTACACGGGCAACAAGACGTCTCTGTATTGGTACTACTACGGTGTCAACTGGCGGACAGCTGTCGCGTGGGTCTGCGCAGTAGTCCCAAGGTAAGCCCTGGAATCGCCCAGTTGCCGTATGACCGATTTCTGACAAGACGCAGCTTGCCTGGCTTCCTGCACTCAGTAAACCCGTCAATAAAAGTCAGCATTCACGCCCAACATCTGTCAGACTTGAGCTTCATGGTTGGATTCTTCCTAGGTAAGTAGAGCGATTTCGAAATATTTCGGGTAACAGCTAACTGAGTCCCTGCGAAGCGTGCTTCAACGCTTACGTCCTGCATTGGTTCTTCCCGTACGATTACGACAAGGAGATCTTTGGAGAGGAGATTGCGGGAACAAGTGAAGTGGGGATTTTCGAAGAAAGCGTGAAGCCAAAGGCCGTGGCCTACCGAGATGTATGAAAGTGTCTGTAGAAGGCTGTCGCAATCAATCGATTTTCTTTCCGATAGAGGACGTATTCTTCACGCTAGCGCACCGACGTGGCTGTTTTCTCTTCCTCGGGAATCTGTGTGTGCCACGAATTTTGCTGAGAAACCTCAGACGAGAGAAATGTTGCTTGGTTGGCCAAGAAAGACTCCAAAATCAACGATGTTGATGCTCGTGGGTTGATACAGCGGAGAGGGACTGTAGAGATGAGACAAATCAAACAACATACTCCAAAAAGCCAGGCTCCAATGTGCCTCCATCAATCTTTCTGAGTCGTCCAGTCTCGATCAGAATTATTCCTCTAAGCTGTCAAAGATCAGCGGTGCAACAGAATGGCTCACACTGGCCAACGTGACGAGAAAGTCGAGGTTCGAGTCGACTGGCAGACCGGCATTGGCTTTGATGTCCTCGGTGGACGTGGAGGCGAATGCAAAGACCATTTTATTTGATTGGTCGGCAATGCCAACTTCAAACGTCTGAAGCCGGCGGTGCTCTTGGCGGTGCAATTGCTTCCACTCAGTCCTGCAGTGCACGGTCCGGCCCACTCGATGACGTCAGATGGCCCTCGCCAAAGCAGCAAAAAAAGTTCGGTAGTCCATCTGCGCGGTCACGCTCTGCGGCTGGATTGAATGCAAAAGAATCACGAGAATGATTGTGTGAGATGACAATGAGAAGCAAAAAAAGTTGTGCCAAGTTGTTGGCTTTCAATCTATTTCGCGATCCGCATGGGGGTCTAAGAAATTGTTAGAAATCAATCACTCTGGAGCAGTAGAGCCGAGTCAACGTACCGAACCCACAACCTTGCCCTTAGGAGGGGCACGCGCTACCATTGCGCCAACAGACCGAGAATGCGGAGGCGTGTGGCTTAATGCTTTGTTGAACATACCACAGCACAAAACGCGAAGCGGCCAAGGTGGACGATTTCTTCTCCCTCCAGCCCAGCCCCCGGGAGCGGCTGCGAGCACACTCGGTGGATTTGGCTGCGGCCTTTTCAGTTGGTAGTTGGGAACATGTCGTTTTACCTGGTCGTCGAGGCGGTGGGTTAGGTCCAATATGTCCAAGGAACCCAAGACTGGTGTCCAAGTAGGAGACGAGTCTGCCACAGGTCAGATTCTGTGTTCGAATTGCGGTCTTGGTTGACGGTAGCGTTGGTACGAAACGGGAATTTTGCTGAGAATATCGAAGACGAGCTGAAGTTCTGAATAAAGAAATGCGCTTACCAGCTGCAAAGACTGTGCCCATGCTCTGAAGGACCCGTGTCCATTTTCATCACGGATAAGTTGAGAGCTTCTCTCTAGTACTTTGCTGGCAAAACTGGTGCTTGCACATTGCGTCGAGACGGTTGCCTGGCCCAGCCTCGTGACCAGAGCCTCCCTCAAACTCCCGTCACTGCTCGAAAGCAATGCACAAACATACGAGAAGCAATCAACAGCCGGCAACACAAGCGTCATGAGCAGGCATCAGGAGGCGCATCATGGGCTCGGGCGACTTCATGACGGTGACGACAACCTCGTCGTCGAGGCCGTAGCAGAGCCAAAACAGGCGCGACAGGTTGACCAGCGGCATGACGAGCATGTCGAAGAAGACGGCGCGCACAACGGTGAGGGCGATGCTCATGATGGTGGCCCACGGCAGCGCCGGGGCCAGCGTCGTCGCAATCATGACGTCCAACTCTTTCTCTCTTGCAGATTCAATGGTTGCCTGGATAGTTGGCCGCGGGACTTTAGGTGCGACGGAACAGAAATGGCGAGCCGCTGGCTGGGGGGTTGACGGGTGGGTTGAAGAGAGGAGCGGAAGGTGGAGGAATCGAGGCACAAAGAATCATCTGGACTGGCATTGAAGGGTTGCTGCGTCGTCGAGGTGAACAAACGGGAATGCCGTGGCCCCGCGTCGCGGGCATTTGATGCATCCATCTCCGCCCCGCGTTCCCGCCCGCCGATCCCGCCCTCGGCCCTCCCTCTCCCTCCGCTCCGCCGTCGGCCAGCAGTCCGTGCACCAAAACTTCATCGCCGCGCCGGCTCGACAGACGGTGAATCGCCGTCGCCGCAGTCAATCCAACCCACCGACTCTCGACCTCGAAAACCGCGCCCTCCTCCCCCCTATTTCCTCCTCTCGACCTCCTCCTCCCCCTCCTCCTTCGAGTCAACGGCAATGAGCGGTCTGGGCGGCGCGCTGCCGGGCGGCCGGCCTGGCATGGCCTTTGGCGGCGGACAAAACACGCAGGGCATGACGGAGCAAGAAGCCGCAGCCATGAAGGCGGTACGTTAGCTACGTGGAGACGAGACCAACCCCGTGGCGCAATGATGTGGCTCAAGCAGTACAAGCAAGAGCTGGGAAACAATCTACGAAGCAGGCAGACCGTGATTGATTCGAGGCTCGAACTGCTGCTGCTGCTGCGCGCAGGCGGAGAGGAAAACACTGTGCTAACACAACGCCGCCGGGCTTCCGCAGATGCAAGCAGGCATGGAGTCCTGCTGGGTCAAATCCATCATGTCAGGCGTCGCAGGCGCCGGCATGGGCGCACTATTCGGACTCTTCATGTCCTCTGTACGGCTCTCCCTCCCTCCCCTCTCCTCCCAACCACCACCCAAATCACCACCCACCTAACGCTCCCTCCCCGCTCTAGATGCGCTACGACACGCCCATGTCCGCGTCCGGGACCGAAATCGCCAAGCTGCCCCTGACGCAGCAACTGCGGCAAGGCTTCCGCGAAATGGGGCGCGCATCGCTCAGCTCGGGCAAAAACTTTGGCGTCATCGGCGCCGTGTTTGCGGGGACCGAGTGCGCGATCGAGGGGCTGCGCGCAAAGAATGACCTCTACAACGGCGTTGCGGCCGGCTGCATCACGGGCGGCGCGCTGGCCATGAAGGCGGGCCCGCAGGCTACGCTCGTGGGCTGTGCGGGCTTTGCGGCGTTTTCGGCGGCTATTGATGCGTATATGAAGATGCCTGAGGATGAGGTTAAGAAGCCGGTTGTTTGAGTGATTTGATGGTGTGGATGCGCCGCGGCGCCGGCGGCTGTTGTGCATTTGTTTGGTTGGATCGATGCGATGCGGATGCGATGGGATATGGGGCGCCAGGCGCAACGCACAGTGCGAATGCATGGTAGACGGTGGGACACACGATTCTCCGCTCAGACGGACGGACAGGACGGCGTTTGGGGGTTGGTTGGGGGGCGCGCAAGATACCAAGACATGGAGCTTAGTCTCGTGTTTTTTTCTGGCAGCATTCGGCGTAGACATAGACATGGACAAAAAGGAAACCTCTCCACGATCACATCTCTGTGACTCTCTCTCTCTCTCTCTCTCTCTCTCTCTCTCTCTCTCTCTCTCTCTTACCCCTCAATCCCCTTCATCATCTTTAGCAGGTTCTGAGGTGCGCGTTAGGGGTTCAGGGTAGGGTGGAGGCGAGCCGGGGAAGGGGGGGCAAAGGGGGTCAAAGAGCATCGCAAAAAGCTCAAACCCTTTCCTCTTCTCCCATCCCTACATAACCCTCTCTCACCACCTTTACTCTTCATGCACCTCTCATCTCTCACGCACACAACAACCTCCAAAAGGTGAGGTGGCCGAGTTGGTTATGGCGCCAGGTTAAGGTCTCCTTAGCACACAATTCCTGGTGGAGAAATCCGCGCGAGTTCGAGTCTCGTCCTCATCATTAGTGAAAGGGAGGGTTGGGTTGTGTGGGAAGAGAGGTGATTTTTTTTTTCTTTTTGCTCGTGTTGTGCAGGCCCGGGAGGGGTGGGTGCGCGGGCGACGGGAGGGGGCACGGACGGTTGGTTCGAGGGGGTCTGTGTGGGGGCCTTCGAATTTTCTTTTAGGGTCGGTGTAGACTTAGTAGAGGGAGGGACAGAAAGTAAGAAGGAAAGCAAGTGGGATTGGAGTGACTGGGATGGCGGAGGTTTGAGAGGGAGGTCGTTGGTGTTGATGCTGTCAGTGGTTGTTGAAGGTAGAGGCGATCTCGCAGTCTTGAGCACATCAGCCATTGGCAAGAAGCGCCGGTCCAATCAGGAGAGGGATGCTCGAATCCAAGACGGCGGGCAGGAAGCATGGGCGAGAGTGAGTAGTAGTCGTGGTATTAATCGTACGCCTTGTAAATACAGCTTGTTGGCTGGCTGGCTGGCTGGTTGCACCAGCGGATCGAAAGCTCTAGCTCCGCCACCAGCAATGCATCGCATTGGTTTTCAAAAAGAGAACCCCCTGAACGGCTTCAGATAATCTAAAGTCGTTTGCTTTGAACGCCGTCCCCTCGTGCCGAGCGAGAGCTTTTACTGCACGTCCGGCAGCCGCACCGCAATGTCGCCCGACTGCGTGATGTAGCGGACCCAAGGGAGCGACGGGTATTGGAGCTAGCGCTGGTCAGCCGTGGTCTGCTTCGATAGATGAGAAGACGTACCTTGGGCTCGATGATCTTCAGGTACCGCACCTGGATACCGCTGGTGGTAAAGTACGGAATCTCAAACTTGACGTTGATCGGCCTCTTGCTCTTGCCCGCGCCAACACCGCCCATGCTGCCACCGAATCCACCCATCATGCCGCCTCCCTTTTCGTCGTCGCCGCGCACCGACGGCAGACCCAGCTCGGCGCGCATGAGGAATTCCTTGCCACCTCCAAACTGCTTAATCTTCCATACGATTGACGACGACTCGGGTGCGTAGTGGACGGTGCCAATGTTGGTGCGGAACCGCGGAGAATCGGCGTCGTCGGGAACGGGGATGATGATTTGCACGTTGTTTGCCGTGCTGCGGCGCTTGAATTGTGCTTTGGCCTACTCTTGTAAGTTTACCATTTTCATTCGCCTTGGAGAGACCAACCTTGAGCATGTATTCTATCCTGCTGCCCGAATGGCTCTCGACCACGCACTCGACCCAGATCAATGGCTTGACTTGGGTGTTTAAGCGATAGCTCATCAACTCGAATTCTCCGTCCGGCGGGATGAAGCTGATGGTGCGGTCATTTTCGAATCTGCTCAACCTCACGCACTGGTGGAACTTGACGTCCTCCATCTCGACTGCCTTGCCCCTTGTTGCTCTTCCAGTCGTCTCAAACATGACCTTGTCGTTCAAACCGAGCCGCAGTTCTGGCATACCCGAGAGGTAGCACTTCATCTTGATGGCACCAAGAATCTCCGAGCGCAAGACGTTGCCGTTGGAAGATACGAGGAGGTTGAGCGATTCGACGACATCGAGGAAGACTTCGTTTTTCCGGTAGCGGATTCCTTCGCTGCGCCAGGATACGGCGTTGGTGACGGCAATGGGAGGACGCGCCTGGACCTCGAGCTTGTGCGATTCTTGCGTAATGTACCTGGAATGTGTTAGCCTGGACCCGGACGAAGCGGCGACACACGCACTCTTGTAATATCTTGCTCTCCGTCGTCTGAGGGTATCCAAAGTCCATCATCTCGTCGAGAAGTTCGTAAATGACGACAAAGTTGTCTCTTATACTCTCCTCCTCCAGCTCTTTAAAGTATTCGGTAAAGACCTCGACAATCTTGTGCAGGAAAAGCAGAATCTCGGCGGCATTGGAGTTGCGCTTCGTCAGGGCGAGCAGGTACAGGTTGCTATGTCTGATGTAGAGGTACTATGATGGCCATCAGAGTCGGCCTTCTTTGTGGGGTTGCGGGCTGGGGAGCACTGACGTTGATGCCTTCGGATGAGAAGCACGGAGGGACGGCGGAGCTCTCTTCTTCGGCCTCGCTGAGCAAAACTGGAAATTTCTCGACTGCCGACATGGGAATGTCTCCTCTGTAGTTGCGGGCGAGAAGGGTCTGCGCAATGCGTGAGCGCTGCAACTCCTGAGAAGACGGTGAACGGGGCGCTCACCTTGCCCTTGAGGTCCAGAAAGAAGACGGCCGAAGCCATGATGGCAGCAGGTGGATTGACGAGGGCGACGACGGTGGATTCGGGGGGCAGGTGATTTCAGCAGCGGAGCATGGCGCGGTGGTCGTTGGAGCTTGGTTGGTAGAAGGCCAGCCAGCTCCAAGGCCAAATGTACCCTACATGTACCCGCAGTAAGCGCGTCTCACCGCCTTCGGCCTGGGCGCCCCGCCGTCTCTTACAATCTTGGTCCCGCTCCGACTCCGCATTCCTGGTTCCGCTCCGCGAGCAAAATAATTGATACGACCAAATAAATGTACATTGAGCGTAGAAGCTTGCCAGACGCCTACATGCTGATATACTACAATCATCTATGACCGAGAAACAACCAAACGCCTGCGCAGTCCCAAGCCAAGCTTTTCCGTTCCTCCATGAGAAGAAATCCAACAAGTCGTCTGCTCGTTTATACATTATCCCTCACATCAGTTCTTGTCCGCAAAGTCGCTGGCCTGCAGGTTCCGCGTCATGCTGGGCAGGCGCACCACCAATCCGTCCAGCTCCTTGCTCATCTTGACCTGGCACCCTAGCCGACTCGTCTCGGTGAGTCCGAATGCCAGGTCGAGCATATCGTTTTCGTCATCGTCGGGCTCGGGCATTTGGTCGTACATGTCCGAGTCTTCGATGATGATATGGCACGTACTGCAGGCACAAGAGCCGCCGCATGCGCCTGGTCCAAGTCAGTGAGAATGATCCAATTTGTGAGTCGACAGGAAAGATTACCCTCCATCTCGAGGTCATTGGCCTGCGCGACGTCGAGCAAGTTGTCCCCATCGGCCACCTCGAAAGTGTGCTCATCGCCGTCCTTGTCTATAAAAGTGACCTTGCGCCTGCGCGAAGCAAAAGCTCAATTAGCCGTGTGTCGAGAGCAGATGGTGGGTAGTGGGGTCTCACTCTTCGCCTGGCTTTGGTGTGTGAAGATGACCATGCTGCGCCGCTGAAGTGGAGGAAAAACCTCGCCGTAACCGCACAGCAGCATCCCAGCTCTTTGATCTCAATGCGCTCTGACATGCAAGGCGGATGGGTGCGGAAGAGGCCGAGGGAGCAGCGGCGCGGTGGATGAGTCTTGCGTATGACGTTTGCAGGCGCGCAGGCGACGGACGGGCTCGTGGCAGCGAGGCGCAGATGGAACGGACGGCGCAGTTGGCAGGAGGCATTGCGGAGGTGAGGAGGAAGACGACAAATCTGTAGAGGGACGAAAAGTGGTGGTTGAGGTGGAGAGGACGCTGCAGAGAGGAAGTGAAATGGCCGCCGATCACCGCCGCGAAATAATCGACTTTGGAGCTCCGCCATTCGCTGGGTCAAGGTCAACCCCAGCAGCCCTGCTCATCTTCCATCTTTGCATCACAACATGACGCCCGCAACCGCTCTCCACCAACATCACCCTCTCGACGCACCCCTCATGGCCACCTCGCGCGACCAGCCAAATCCTCTCCGTCCTTACTACGTCCCGCCCTCCATTGGCCTCCCTCCAGATCCCTCGCCGAACAATGTCACCGCCCATGGCTATGCCACCTCCTCTGGGCCCAAGTCCAGTCCGTCCGCCTCACCTCCAAAGCCCAGCTTTGGCTCGCAAGCTCGAGACATTCTCAGCGACCTGGATTATGGCGTCGACCTGAGCTTGGGCGACGGCAGTCCGACCCTGGCCGAAATGACAAAGAAGCTGCTCGACCAGGCCGTTTGGAACTACACGTCCGTCTTGTTTGCGCAGCCCTTTGAGGTCGCCAAGATGATGCTGCAGATACACCTGCCAGGAGGCTCGGAGGACTCGAAAACTTTGCTGCAGCCCCTCGACCACAGGAGACGCGCCGAAGAGCTACGTCTTGGAAAATATAGCGAGGTGCCTTTACATGCGACCTTTTTCCTCATTGGGTCCTGAAAACTGACCTGCGCCTCCAGTACTCGTCCGACTCGGACTCGGCCGACGACTCGCCTTCGTACTTTTCCTCTGCTGCTCCTCGATCCACTGTATCCTCCTCGTCACGCGCAGAGTCGCGTTCTCCCCGCCGCCACCGCGCTCCCCCTGCGCGACCCCTCCAAGCCCCGCATCCTCACAAAATCGATCTCAAGCGCAACGACTCATTGCTAGAGGTGATATCGCAGCTATGGACAAAAGAAGGAGCATGGGGAATCTGGAAGGGCACCAACTCGACGTTTGTCTACAATTTTCTCCTCAAGACGATTGAGAGCTGGTTGCGGAGTCTACTTTCTGCCCTCTTGAACGTCCCCGATCCCGGGCTCCTGGGAGGGTACGGCGTTGGGGGAGGTGGACTGGATATCATGGACAGTCCGAATCCTCTTACCAGTCTCGCTGTGGCAGTAGCTGCGGCAGGAATCTCGGGGCTCATGCTGGCGCCCCTCGACATGGTCCGCACTCGGTGAGTCTATCAACACCATAATCAAACCACCCTGCTAACGAGGCTTCTAGACTAATTGCGACACCTTCAACACTCGCTCCACGCGCCATTCTTCCTAATCTGCGCCATCTCCCCTCCCTGACAGTACCGCCGTCCCTCCTCCCAATAACGCTCCTCCACTCCACACTCCCAACGCTCCTCTCCGCATCCACTCCGCTGGTCCTCCGCTCCTCCGCGCGCATCGACCCCGTCCTCACCCCCGCCACCTACTCCCTCTGCACCTTCCTCTCGTCCGCCACCGAGCTCTTCATCAAGCTGCCCCTCGAAACGGTCCTGCGCCGCGGCCAGCTCGCCTCCCTCTCCGCCCACGCCCGCGCCCAGCGCCTCCCCCGCCACCCCGACGAGCTGCCCCGCTCGCGCAGCCCGGC